TATTACGAACCATTGTAATGTAAAGTGTCACAGTATGCAATGTGGTAATGTGTATTACAAAGAGTTGTAATGTAGACGAGGCATGATTGTGAAGTGTGACGCGGAAAGGAAAAAGAGGGCAAAATCGGGAGAGAAAGAAAGAATGTGGCGGGAGAGGTCCTAGTTGGGGGATAAAAAACATGAACTCCTATTTTAGGGATAATCACAATGTTTTAGTCCTATTAGGGGTGATTTCTAATTTTTTAAGGGAAAAAAGAAGTTTATTTGGGTACAAAGAAAAACGAAAGGGAAAGTTTATTTAGGGATGAAGGGAGTATAACTTTCGACCTAGAAAGGGTGACAGATGCAACTAGCTCCAAATATATAACTTTCGCCTCAGTGTCATATGCAACTTCTGACTTGCAATGGGTGTCCGGCGCTGGCTCAGTCCTTTTTCTCACATTGTAAATGCAGAGGGTCTTTTTCTCACATTGTAAATGCTGGGGATAACTTTCCTTTCAAAAGGGTTCAATTTGTATAGTAAAGAACGCAAAACTTTGACTGGAAAAACAATCACTGTCGTATAGGTAGAAGTACTTCTTATTATATACTCTCTCCGTCCATAAATAAACTTTACGTTGCGCGTTACGATGTTTGACTGAAGTTATTTTTAAATCATTTTATATGAAAAATGGTGTGAAATTTTAAAATAAAAATCTCATATTAAAAAACTATATCAAAAGATCTACAAAACTAGAGATGACATGACTTATATTATTTTATCAAATGAGTAACGAAAATAGGCCAACAAAGTGAATAAAGTTTGATCCTGTGAATAGTGGATAATTCAAAATATATTCCAAAAAAAAAAAGAAAAAAGAAAAAGAACTTTGAAGTAGGAGACAAAGTGGAACCTCTTTATCCTCATTGACCGCAGTATAACGCGGGATCGAACCCTTGACCCTTACTTTCTCCTCTAACTAATTGTGTGGCATATGGCTACTAAATAAAATTACGTGACATATATGGAGTATCGAAAGTGACAAAAAAAAATACTTGAAACTTGTGTTAATTTAATTAATGCACCCTCCCGAGGAATTATAAAGGTGAATAGCATAAAATCGACAAATCAGCCCATTTGGATAAATAAAGGATTTAATATATTGTGATTTGTGGGGATTATATTCTCGTTGTCTGTTTATTGGGACACATTATTTTTTTACCGTTGTTGATTATTATTCTCATGCTATGTGAGTTTTCTTCATTATTGACAAAAGTGAGGTTACAAGTTGTCCGAAACAATTTTTCTCTTTAATCCAGATTCAGTTTGATAAAATCCTCAAAATAGTTTACTCCGATACCATCAGGGGCGGACCCACATTGGGTCATATGGGGTCAAGCGACCCCACGGAAATTATAAAATTTTTTAGTATATATATACAATTTTCTTAGTGTATACTTAGATTTAGTATATATTTCAACAAACGCTACAAGTTACAACTTGTACTTGCTGAAGGAGTGGTATACTCCGTGTCTTGCACTGGGGTGGGCGGTCCTGAGTTCGAAACTTGCCGTAGGAATGAGTATTCATTATCTTTTGGAAGATGACACCCCCAATTTCAAGAACAAATCTTCAAATCTTCCATTAATACTTTGTCGGATTTTTTTTCTAACATAATTGAATCTAATTATCTAAATTGAATATTTCTTTTTTTATTTGTAAATTATAAAAATCTTAATTTATTGTTATAAATTTGTTATTGTCTTTTTTAAGATTGTGATTTTTAATATGTTAATATAATTAGGTTATGTTTTAAGTTTATAATGTTTTTTATTATTTAAATTTAAATATAGGATGCAAAGGAGTGAGTATATATTATTTTTTAGGAGATGACACCCCCAATTTCTCGAACAAATCTTCATCTTCCATTTCTANNNAAATTTGTTATTGTGAATAGCAGAATAGAGAATTGAATTCGTTTATTTTTTTAAGATTGTGATTTGTGAATATGTTAATATAATAATTAGGTTATGTTTTAAGTTTATCATGTTTTTAATTATTTAAATTTAAATATAGGATATAGGATGCAAAGGAATGAGTATATATTATTTTTTGGAAGATGACATCCCCAATTTCTCGAACAAATCTTCATCTTCCATTTCTACTTTGCCAGCTTTTTTCTCTTACATTATTGAATCTAATTATCTAAATTGGATATTTCTTTTTTTATTTGTAAATTATGAAAATTTTAATTTATTGTTATAAATTTGTTACTGTGAATAGCAGAATAGGGATTGAATTTGTTTATTTTTTTAAGATTGTGATTTGTGAATATGTTAATATAATTAGGTTATGTTTTAAGTTTATAGTGTTTTTAATTATTTAAATTTTAATATAGGATGCAAAGGTATTTTTAAAAAACACCAAGATTTAAAAAGAAAGAATTGAGTGAGAATCCAAAGATGTATTTCATATTTGCAATGTAGAACTATTTTTAGTTAGTATTTTCAATAACATATATAAACTTTAATGTTATGTATTATAGAATACTGTTTATTTATTGTTAGAAGCGTGACGGTTGGATATAAATTTTCTAAATTTCGACCCCACGGTTCAAATGTTCTGGGTCCGCCCCTGGATACCATATGGGAATTTGGCGAAAATTGATCTGCTTTGCTTAAACACAAATCACGTATTTATATATGTATACAATTTATACAAATAGGCTAAACTATACGGGCCATCAACTAACAACAATGGGCTTAATTACAAATCCTACTATATACAAAGCAAAAGTAATCTAGTTATATTTTCCCGCCCAAAGTCGGGGTTATTATTGACTTTTCACGTTTTCAATTTTATTTTATTTTTGGATGCAATGTTAGCACAGTAGTTTTGCTCTTCAATTGATATTGTAGGAGGATTTTCAAGGCCAAGAAGATTGAGATATCAGACTGGGCTCTTTGGGAATAGGGATGGCAACGGGTTGGGTTCGGGTCGGATAGTACTATACCCGAACCCGACCCGACTTTTAAAACCGAAACCCGAACCCGACCCGAAACCCAACCTTTTAAGCTAAAAACCCGACCCGACCCAAACCCGACATTTCAACCCGAAACCCGAACTCGACTTTTAACCAATAATCAATTCGACGTATTCCAATAATTTTGATATGATTAAATCTAATTTTTTCATGTCTCTTTTTTATGTCTCATTTTTTATTAAGGAATTATAAAAATGATTATAAAAAGCATACTTGATATAGTAACACTTTGTCAAGAAATTATACGGAGTGCTTATTATATCCATAGATAGGCTTTTATGTAATAAAATATTCGGGTTTTAGTCGGGTCGGGTGCGGGTTCGGGCCGGTTCGGGTAAATTATAAATCCACACCCGACCTAACCTGATGTCGGATTCGGATAAAAAATTTTGGGTCGGGTTCGGATTATTTTATTCTCGATTCGGGTTCAGATATTTTAGTGGTCGGTCGGGTCGGTTAAACTCGGGTTCGGGTTGAATTGACATCCCTATTTGGGAATGTATGTTGTGTGCCTCTATTTATTTTTCACTCTTAACTTTTTATATGATTCAATTCTTGATGTGTAAACTTTATACTACAGAAAAAAAGATTAAAACATTATTAGCCTTATTACTTCAAAATTTAGGGTAAATTATAAAGATAATATTTAAACAACGTTTAAGCACTGTTTCAAATATTAGGGAGAATTGTTAGGTTATGAGTTGGATAATTTACTTGATGTTAAGAGGGTGTTTTTCTATGCTTGTGCTTATTGCCTTATTGCCGATATTAGTAATAAACAGATTTTAACTTATAAGCTGCTTATAAGTTAAGTATTCTTTAATTGAAGTAAAATGACTTATATGATTGATAAGTCACTTGGAAATATTCATAAATGGTGAGGGACTGTTTTGTAAATAATCTGGTCAAAATAGAGAAACAATTTTGCAAATTTTTAGAACATTATAAAAAAATAAAAAAAATCACAAAATATTGATTAATAAAAGAAACAAATAAAGAGAAAAAGGGGGGAAACAAAATGCTGTACCCCTATACTAGCATCTCTCAAATTTAAATCCCCTCCATCCTCGAATGGTGTTTGTCCAAATTTTAGCATGATCATTTTTTAAACAAAAAACGATGAAAATATAATATAAAGAAATTGTATGGAACGAAAAAGAAAATTTTATCTTTGTTCAAGGGACATAGTGTGCGATTTTTCAAGTTTATTCTTATTTTTCAATTTTTTATAACCCTTAGTTTTTTCTAAAGCACCACATACATTCTCATTTTTTTATAACATCTCATTCCCACCAAAACCAATATGTACAGACAGATACACACACACACACACACATCCTTAAAATGAAAATTTTAGTTCTTTCTCCGTCTTAAAATTAACTTCTCAGTTTGACATTCATGATCAAACTTTTTGAATTTTGACCGCGTATTACGGAAAAGTACATTGAATTTTAATATAAATCTGCTATCAATTGATTCATTTTGAAATATGTAGTATAATTTTGGAATATTTTATTTTTATAATATATATTTATATATCAATAAAAATATTAGTAGTCAAAGTGTTGTATTAAAGACCGTAAAAAGTCAAATGAAACGTTAATTTTAGGACAAAGGGAGTATTTATTTTGTAATTATCCCCCAAACAAATTTGAATTTTAAACTTGTTTAAGAGATAAAAATATTATTACTCATATATATATATATATATACTCCGTATATATATATATATATATATACACACACACACACACACACACACACACACACACATATATATATATATATATATATATATATAAGCATGTTCATTTTTCTAAAAGGACATTAAAATGATAAAAATATAAAATTATTTTGTAACGAACCATAAAGAAAAGTTTAAATTTTTTGAAGGGACATAAAGAGTGCATTGTATAAGTCATTTAGTTAGATAGCTAACAATTAGTTAAACCATAACATATACGGAGTAATTTCATACAAACACCATACTATATATTACATGTCTCCATTACAAATAGCCAAAAACTAATGACGCGCAGTACAACAACATATATGGAATATATGAAGTATATTATGTATGGGACAAAATAGATAGGCCCCTTTTATTTGGATAATAGATATAGATATTATTACCCTCTAGTTTATTTTTATTATATGATAATGAAGCATATAAAATGCATCATCATCTATTATATAAATACTATATCTTGATCCCATAATATTTATTCAGTTCGATTTTTTCAAATAAATTGGACAAACTTTGACCATTAATTAAATAAAAATTGCATAGCCATTGTGAGAAAGATGATTTCGTTCCCCTTGGAGAAAACATTCTTTCATTGTCTACCTATTACCGCGATGCAATTTTCATGTAATTAATGGTTGAAATTCATCCAGTTCAACTCGAAAAAATCAAATTGAAAAAACACTCGTGGGACGCAAAGATAGTATTACCGTAGTAGACACTATATAGATCTAACCGCAGCGAGGGGGAGAGATTTTACAAGCTTTGGCCACCTTGTTTGCATTAGGAGAGGTGAAATACTTTTTGAGATTTGGGTTGTGCTTGTATTGGCAAAGGCAAGTCTTTTGTTGCTTGAGCACTGCACAACACGTCGATGTGGGGCCAAGTTTTGGTGACGTCATGGCGGGTGCGCAAGGGGACAGCTTTGAGGGATCGCAGGTATTACTATTGGTCGCAGCAGCCATGGCCACTGTGGCCGTGGCGTTTGCAGGTTCGGCCACCCCGGTGGCCATTAGCATTGCCACCACTAACATTGCACAAAGAACAATGGGACTAGTGTAGGAGTTCTTCATTCTTCACAATAGAGGTAGATAGCTAATTAGGTTGTGTATTTGCTCTTTGTTTTTGGGAGGGGATGGGGAGAGAGATGGAGTATATTATGGTTATAAGTTGGTTGTGAATGTGTCTATTTATAGCCAATTGCAAATGGTGCATGTTGTTTGATTTGCACATTTTGATTTTATGGATATTAAGTGCCCCATTGACAACCGTTTCCATGCTTAACTTTATCGTTTTTAAAGTTAATCAACAGTACTAAAAAATAATGTAAAACACTAACACTAATTAAAAATGTTAATTCCAAATAAGGATTAAGAAAAATGTTGAAAAGATATTACAACAACAACCCAATGGAGTCCCAACATATATGGTTGGACTCTAACATATAAAAATTTTCATCCCAAATAAAATGAGACTTTATAGAAATGGGACCGGGATATTTTGGAATGAGATAACAAGATCAACATTCTTTTCCACCTCTAACCAGAACTTCATAAAAGAGTAGGAAGCAAGGTCAGTTTAATTTTTCATTTTGGAAATATGTTAATAGTTAAAACTGAGTGGTTAGAATTTATTATTTTGAACTACATTTTTTTTTTAGAAAAAATAAAAAGTGAACAAATTATTTTAGAATAAATAAGAAAGAAAAGTGAGATTTTTGTGGAATGGACGAATAAATTAATTAAAAGTGGAATCAAGCCAAGAAGGAAGAATGATTAAGCATGGAAATGGAGGAAGAAAACAACAAAAGAAGGCATTGTATATGCATGCTTGCTCCCATTATGTTTCTTTTGTTTTGGGTGGTGCTATAATCAAGTGGTATTTTCACGCTTAATTGAGTGACTAAACAAATTTAATCCGACCCAAGGTAAATATTCGCTCCCTCTCAGTGTATTTGTTCGGTTTGACTTTTTTGAGTCAAATTGGACAAATTTTAAACTTAAATTCAATAAAATTTATAATATATATTGTCATGAAAATGCTTTTGTTATATTTATCTTGTTGAGAACTTTCAAAAGTTTATTTCATTATACTAATATGCAAAACAAATTGAGAGTAAACTCAAAGTTTACCTAATTTAACTTGAAAGAGTTAAATAATAGTTTTTGTTATGATTAGTGCTTGTTTTGGACGGTTATTTGTAATTTAAGCCTGAAATCTAAACATTGAAATCTCGAATATGGATATTTTAATAATTTTGAATTTAAGTGTGGATCAATTAAGGGTCCATTTAGAAAGATGAAAAATGGCTTTTGATAGAAATAAAACTTACTCCGTATTTCTTTGGGTGTTTGAATGAAAAGAAAATGAAAAAAAAACTAGTTTTTGATTGAGGATAGTAAGAGATTACTGGCTAGATTTGATTATATGCTTTGTGAGTTTGTACCTCGTAATCTTAATTTTGTTGCTCATTTTCTTCCGCAACGAGTGGAAGATAGTCTCAGGTTGCAGAAAATGTCTTCCAGATTTTGTTAGGTCTTATTTGATTTAAGGCTAAAATCCACCATTGATCCTTCAACTTTATCAGTTGTGCACGATTGGTCTTTCAAGTTTCAAAAGTCCATAAATAGTCCTTCAACTTTATGAGTTCTGCACCATTGGCCCTTCAAGTTTCAAAAGTCCATAAGTAGTCCTTCAGATACACGTCAGCCCTCCAGATGAAGTTCTTTTGACAGTAAATATTAAAAGTTAAACGAAATACTAGTTTCATATAATACGAGTAAATTCCACTAGGTACGACTACTCCGTATTATATGGAGCTAGTATTCCATTTAGCTTTTAACATTTACTGTCAAAACGATCTCATCTGGAGGGCTGAGGTGTATTTGAAGGACTATTTATGCATTTTTAAAACTTGAAGGACCAATCGTGCATAACTCATAAAGTTAAAGGACTATTTATGGACTTTTAAAACTTGAAGGACTAATCGTGCACAATTGATAAAGTTGAAGGACCAATAGTGGAATTTAGCCTTTGATTTAATGAATGAAGTTTTTTTAACATGGCAAATTTCGACCTGAGAGTAAGAGAAGGGTGAAAAAGGTCTTCCACTGAAAAACAATAAATCGTCTTCCTCCAAAGAAGGTTCGTTTTTGCTGATTCCGAAAATCATAGACTCCTATTTTCTGTAAAAAGCTAAATATTGAAAAATGAGAAAAGAACTTCGGTAATTTCTCCTTTCGCAAACGAACCCTAAAAGAACTCCATTATTTAATTAGGTGTTGCAAGATTTGAATAACGTAGAGGCAAGAGAGAATATAGAGAAGTCATTTTCTAAGAAGCCGTCCGGAAATATTCTTTCCATTTTCCTTTTTGGTCCGTCCGGAAATAATCTTCCCATTTCCTTTTTGAGTATGCTTAGCTTTTTAAGGCTAAATATCAGGAATACCCTTCTATTTTATCACAAATCTACTTTTTTAATACTTTTTTTAATAATAAAAGGAGATTTAAAAGTTTATAGTATGTGCATTTTTGAAAATTTTGCATTTTTTTACTATTCTTTAATAAACGTGCCAAGTCAACACGGGAAGAACATTTCCGGACGGAGGGAGTAGTATATTATTCTCTTCATTCACACTTGATCACCACCACCTCTTATTGTCAGGAGTTGAATCTGACCAAAACGCCCTTTGCACCGCCTCTTGACCACTTGAATTACACCCTCCAGGGGCCAATGAAAAACAAAACAGGAGGTGTTGAGGAGTGTTAAAATGTTCCACTAGCTGGACAAAAAAAAGGGATCATGGAGTCGCAGGTTGATGATGTTTAATGGTTGAGCATCTAATGGATTAAAAAGTCCATTCTTTAAGTTTCACCATCTTTCACAAGGGTGTAGATATGAACAAAACTACTATAAACTATGTAAAATCCCAAAGAGGTTATTTCCAAGAGACCCTCGGCTCAAACACAGGAATACAGACAAAGAAAATACATTAGCACGAACATAAAACACACTATTCTAAGCTACAGACTAAGGCCCAGAGGACTACACATGGGGAAAAATAAGACATTTCATTGTATGTGTATAGAGACAAGCAATTACCAGGTTAAAATGATCACCCGCGATTCATCCATAATCTGTACGCACTGTTCTTTCTCAGTTCTGTATAGAGTCAGCGAGTGATGGGATTTCAAGTCGCTTTGCTTTTCCTGATTTCAGTTGATGAAATGTCCATACGGAATTCTTCTGCCGGTATTGAAATAAAAATGTCTTTCAGCTCCTCTGGAATGTTAAAGTCATCAAGCACCTGGAGAGGCCAATGGAATCAATTTCAAGCCTTGCTGAGTTTTTGGAACTGAATGGACAACAAAAAAAGGCTATAAAAAAGGAAATTTGATTGTGTGTACCTTAAAAACGCCATCCACGTTTCGGCCCCCCACCAGGAAGACACACCCTGTGTTCTTACATCCAATGAGTGTCTCCAACATGTTCCCATAGTCATTTCTGTAATACTTTGGCTGGAGAAAAAAGGCATAACCTACATAAGTTACGCCCTGCAATATATCTAACATACTTGTGTTGTTTTTAAAACCCTCCTGATTGTAGTCTCTTCCTGGGCATGAGAAAGGGTAGAGGTAGACCTAGGAAAAGTTCCTTGCAGAATGCAGGAGTTTTGTGATTTTTGTAAACATATAAATTAGCACCTTTAGTAATAAAAGATGAAAAATGAGAGAGAAAATGAAAAAAAACAGAGACCGAATTGCAGTACAAAAGAGAGATGAAAAATAAGCATGCAAAACACTAGTAAACTAAACGATGCACCATCTTATAGAAGCAACTTGAAATCCCTTACATTTATAAGCCTTGCAACCGTATCTGCACCAATAACAAAAGCACTGCCAGGGAAAAGTTCTGCTTTTTTGTAAAAATATGGTTGGTTAGATATTATGACTGTCTTGCCTGCACATCAAAATGAACGAATTCTTTGGTTAATATGGGACCGTGTTACAAACCAGATCGGCAAAGCACTGATGCAAGGATTTTAGGAGGGATAATAGTATTACTGCAAATAATAGTACAAGCTTTGCGAACATATTCAGTTTGACAATGTTTTAACTTTGGGTAAATACTAAATAGAAATGACACATAAAACTCTGGGTAAATAATGGATGAAAGCAAAGATATACATTAAAGTGATTTAACATCCTTTGCCTTTTACTTTTTATGATGTTTTGGGCAGTAAATGCAGCAATGCATCAAGTGTCTAACGGAAACAGTTTCTCTCTTACAAGGTAAGGCAGCATACATCTTGACCCCAAAACCCTAATCGACTTGGGATTATATTGGGGTCTGTAACTTTGTTGTTCTATTCTCTTTGACAGAGATCAAGATAGATATTGATGGGGCATCTAACAGTCACAAAAGTACCACTGTCAGCAAGCAACCCCTATCTCTAACTTTAACCTTCCAATACAATAAATTTTGTATAATCACAAATAAAGTTGGTTCCAATGCTCTCAACTTCTCCGCCTCTCCAACTTGAAAACCTGATTTTTGTACTTGAGCATAATATATATTTTGTTTAAATCTTTACTTCCAAAATATTTCTGGGAACTACAGTGATAAATGCATACACACTCACCAACTTTTTCAAATTGTTTTACTCGATCTTTGATTTCAGATACTGTCAACGGAGGTTTGTCTGCATTGACTGCAGACAATTCAAAGCATGGATATCCACCACCACAAATGCTGCAGAATGTAACAATGAAGACAAATGTGGTTATCTTCACTGGAAAAGAAAAATGACAAGGATAACACTTTTTACTTGATTAATTAACATTTCATCGTCTTTCAAAATTAAACATACATATCAATCTCAGGATCCATTCCCTATTGTACCACAACTCCTTAACATTATCTAAATAAAGAAAAGCATAAGACCCTTAATCTGTGGACCAATTTTACAACTCTTTTTAACCATTTCACAACAACAGTTTTGAAAACAATCTTTGAGGTGTTGATGAATGTACCTAGTTGCAACTTCCAAGAGATTAAGGTGACCATCATGCAAGGGGTTGAATGAACCAGACAGAATTATTTTCCTCTCTGCATTGACTGCATCACCAGAAAAAAAAAACTCTTAAGAGTTGCAAAAGGGAAACT